AGAGAGAGAGAGAGAGAGAGAGAGAGAGAGAGAGAGAGAGAGAGAGAGAGAACCAAGCAGAGAGCTCAATGCACCAAGATGCCATACAAATAAGAGCAATACAATGAACTTGAATGTCAATGTTGCCACTCTCTGGTCACACCAACACTATATCCAATGTCGCTCTTCACTGTCTGGCGCCCAGCGCCCAGTCTATCCTGCTCACAGCCTATCTAGCCTATCTACGTTCTCGCAACTGAGACTCTCGGAAGTCGAAGACCGATATACGTGACGTCAACACCAATGCCAACCACCAGCATACACCAGGTACGTTGTCTCTCCTCCCCTCATCACCCCTTGGACCCCCACCTCATGCGCCTCCTACCCGAAGGCCACCTTCGCCATCACGTACCTTCGCGCCCCTGCAGCCCGGCTATGGCTGCTGTGCACCCCGCTGCCCTTCCAGCGCCCCTCACCTCAGCGGTCGTGCGCACGCTCGGCCAGCCAGCTAACACAGACACTAGCGCAGCAGCGTGTCTGCATGGCCTGCTACGGCCCAAATGCCGTCCTGTTGGATGGCCTCTTTCCTTCATGGAAAGTGCAGCCCCTGCTGTGCCTGCGTCGGCCTGGCTGGGGAAGTTTCCAGTAGGTTCCAGTCAGGCCCGTGTGTCTGCGCCCAGGCCCACTTCTACAGTTAAGGGCCTGGGCCCTTTTCCGGTTAGGCTCATCCAGGCCGACATCCAGGCACAAGCGTTTGCCGCATTCTCATTGGCTCGCGGCAGTTGTGTGACGACAATACTGCTTTCTCATTTGTCCGCGGCCGCTGCGCGATGTGTCGGCCTCACAATGTGTGTGCCGCCCAGGGCGCAACCACCCGCCCCTGGGCTCAACTGTGCAGCGCAGCCCTTGTTTCTGCTAAGAGCCTGGAGGCTCACATTTCCCTGTAACCAACTGGCGTGTTCCAATTGTCTGAGTACCCACATACAATAAATTGTCAAATTTTGGCCTCTTGTGAGTATTCAGGCCCGCCTTCACTCACAGCGGGCACAGGGGTTGCTGGGGGCCACAGCCCAGAGCATGTGCATGTCTGATAAGGGCCCCACGAGGGCTCATTTCTCGCACAACCCATGAAAGAAATTCAATCGAACGTTTGGAGGTCATCAAGGCTGTGACTCTCAAAGCAAAATTTGTGCCTTTTATGATAGACAAAAGAGTCATGGCGGAGTCAGCGACAACAACTTGCATAGAGTCTTGTTTCAAAAAAACAAGAATACCAATATATTGTCACATAACTATGAACTAAAAGAGCGCACTTTGCGAAACAAAAGGCAAGGATTAAAAGAAAAAAAAACAAACATGAGGGGCACTGAAACCATTTATTTTTATCATTCTTCTTTTAACTCCCCCTTCAGTATGCATCTCACGTACAAGGCTCGCCACGCTGATGAAGTTGAGCGCGAGCTGCCCGCATCTCCGTGCGCCATAACGAGCCACTTGTACGCTGTGAGAATGAGGCAGAGTAAAGGGCGAGGTGATAAACACAGGGAAGAGAGATGAAGAGAAGACAATATAGCCTCCTTATGAGTCGGCGAAACTCCGATGAAACAGTTTATCAAATTGTCACAGCCCCTCGTTTGTTGTCCTCTTCTCCCTCTCTGCCGGCCGTTTACTGGGGAGTTCTGTTTGATCAACTTTGATGATATATACTGAAAAAACTCCGACAGATTGTTTTATATAAATTGGTTGTGGAAGGGAGAGAGAGAGAGACCTGGATGTTTTTGGAAAATTTTGCGGAGACTGAACAGGGCGGAGCCCACTTGCACGCGCGCCTCTCATTGGATTGCAGCGAAATCTGTCAAGACTAGATGCAGCTTTATCCAGAACCTCATTTAAATCCTTCTTGTACTCTGAAAGATGAGAGAGATTGAGCAGAGGTCCTGTGCTTGCAGGCAATTGCACCGCCGCTGTAGCCAATTGCCCACCTGTCTTCTTCTCCCCAACAAGTCTTTCTTCTGGGACCCAAAAAAAAAAAAACAAAAAAACAAAAAAAAAAAACACGCCAGTAAGGGCAGTAAGGTTAGTGCAAATACACAAAAACCTGTAAAGTCGTGTCAACCTACGTTACCGAACGTACACGTACGGGGCCTTTCCGTACGAAACGTACAGATAATATCTGTGCGGGAACCTGTACGGTCCCGTACGACCCGTACAAAAAAAAAAAAAAAAAAAAAAAAAAAAAAAAAAAAAAAAAAA